ATGAAATGAACTTACTGAAATTCAAACACTTTTGTCATCAAACTGGTTCTAATAAATATAGAATCTACTAAAATTAGATAAATCTAAGAGATAATCTTGGTATTATATTTTGTAAGTTTGTGTCAAAGATAAATTTAAAAGACTATAGATACTTAGTAACATCTAATGAGATAATATTTAGATATAAATAGTAATTAGATTACACTAACTTGTTCTGTCTCAATAATAGTAATATATTATATTTCAAATATATGCAATAAGTATTAAAAATCAGAAAATTTAAATAGAAAACTTACAGACAGATCTTAGATATAGCATTTAGTAGCTAAACTATGGGCAGAACCTTTAATTAGATAATGGCTAAAGTTTTATATATAACAAGTTGTACTTTTATTGATATATATTGCATATAAATATGTAATTATATATTATTAATAATAAAAAGACGCATAGGCAAGATCATTCTTAAAACTAATAAAACTAAAAAAAAAAGAATATTTATTATATTTGTTAGGTTTAGAGAATTTTTATTAATAATTTTATTTATTTATAAAGGTAAACTTGGTGATTATTTAATTATAGAAAACTATAAAACTGTTTAAAAAATTTTTTAAAAAAAAATTTTTTATTTTTTTATACCAATTTGTATATGAGAAAAGTACATACAAGACTACAAGTTTTCTTATTTTTTCTTTATTAAATTTTAATCTTTTTTGTTTTAATTTTTAATTTTTTATAGATACAGTTTTTGTTATTTTAAAATTTTTATATTTGTTATAAAACTGATAAAAATATTTTAATACTGTTTGTCCTAAGCCAGAACCTAATATAATTATTACAATTACACTTTTTAATATTATTTTATACTTAATTCAAATAAAGTAAAATTAATATATATTTCTAGTTATAGTAATACAAACAGGTTGGTTTAGATTAACCTTTTTTTAATTAAAAAAGGTAAGAAAATCCTATATTAAAACTTGTGTATTATTATATAACATTCTTGAAGCTGGGTATACATGTTTTAAGTAGATTATTATAGGCATTACCAATTAGGTAAATAGGCTACTATAACAATTACTTTGTAGATTTTTTAGCATAATAGTTTTATTTCTAAAAATATTTTATACCAAAAATATATATTTAATATTAATAATTAATATTTTATTAAAAATTTTTAAAAAAATTTAAAAATATAAGTTGCTTATATTATAATTTAAAGAATAAGAAAAAAATAAAAATTAATCCAAAAATTTAAAAAAAAACATTAATAAAATTCAACACAAAAAAAAAAAACTTAATTTTAAAAAAAGTTTTAGTAAAATAAAAAAGAATTAAAGAATAGTAAAGACAAAAAAAATGATGAATATAAAAAAAAATTCAAGATATATAGTTTAACTTAATAACAAAAATTTATATATAATAAAATAAGCTGTTTATATACAACTATTTTAATTAATCTAATACAACCTTTAGGTCTAAATATACTATTAACTAGTGCAATAAACTGCTTTTAGATACTTATAAAAATAGTTAAAAAATATCAAACCAGAAAATTTAAATTAAAATATATAAAACTTATATACAAGAATCTTAATAAAGGTTTACAGCAAGACTACCAAAAAAAAAAAATTATTAAATAAAAATATTAACTAATATAAGGTTTATTAAGTAATATATTAAATTTTGTTAATATTTTAAAACTTTTTAATTTAAATAAAAGTTATATAACTTTTATTATAGTTAGTTATGACAGAAACCCAATAGTCTCTTATTTCTAATAATTTATAATTTTAAGTTCTATATATAATAACTTTATTTTGAATTCTTAAATCTTTATTTGTAAAATTTTCTTAAATTAATTATATTTATATATATGTTAACAAAAGAAAAAGTCGCTTATTTTGTTAAGTATATTATTAATTATTAGTTTGATTAAGTTATTAACAGTTTGTATAATTTGACTTGACCTTAAATCATAACTGTTAAAACCACAGTTTGAGCTATAGTTCAAATTGTAATTTAAGCTGTAAATTAAGCTATAATTTTAATAAAAACATGATATTCTAATAGCAGATTGTGTATACTTAATATAAACTTAAAAAGTTATAACTTAAGCTAAGCTATTGTTAAGTTTGATTCTAAACTATAACTTAAACTATAGCTTAAGCTGCAACTCAAAGATATAATTTAAGTTGTAGCATAATAGTTTAGGTCAGCTTAGCTCTATTATATAACTAAAGCTAATTCTAAATAAGCTACTAAAAACTTTAAGTCTGATTCAGTCCTTCTGATCAATAATGTACAATAATTGAAATTCTGATTTGTATTAGATTAGAAGAATTGAATCAAACTAATAATCAATATAATATACTTAAAAAACTGAGGTGCAGTGTTTATATGAAGCCAATTTATATTGATATAATTAAAATTCTAAAAAAATAATTCTCATACTAAATTTATTTTTTTAGTAATTTATTAAAACAATTAAAGACTTATTAATTATTGTATAAATATTAAAAATTAACTTTTATAAAATTTTTTAAAAAATTATCTTAAAAAACAGCTATATTGTCATGTAAATCTAATTAAGAGTTTTAAGTTGAAAAAATTACATACACCTTTGTTAGATACTTGTACTAAAAAATATAAATGATAAATGATGACCCATCACCATGGCGACCCTATATATAGCAGCTAATTATATTTAGAGTTAGTAAAATTCATTTTTTACTATAAAATTTAGAAAATTTGTAACTAAATATAGTTTATGCTTAATTTTAATTGGCCAATCATATAGGGTCGCCATGGCGACCTGTCGTCATAAAATGACGCACTAATATTTAATACACGGCCTAAATTTAATTTAATATTTAATATACGGCCTATAAAAATGTAAATTTAATTTAATATTTAATATACGGCCTAAAAAAATGTTTTGATTATCTTCATACATAACCCTAATTAATGTTTGATTAAATTAGTTGAGGCCCAACCCTAATCATTCATGTATAAACTGAACTTTCGTCATGTTCATAACGAAAAAAAATTAAATATCATCGTGCAATTCAAGTGAAACAAATACTGATTTTCAATATCTTGTTGGGAATCATATGTAACTTTAGAGACGATCGAATTATTTTAAATATCAAATGGAGATGTAACGTAAGATAGCATGACTACAGAGCTTTTTTGAAGTTGTTACTTTGAACTTCATGTAGTGATCCAAATCGTTAGTTGAAAACCCAACTAGTTGACAACTTTCCAACTATTCGATTTGGAAAATTTTGAAACAACTAATCGATTAAATCATCAACTAGTTAAATTCTGAGATAGAGTTCCTATCCATTATCCATTCATCCATTTATCTATTTGATATCCAGATTCGGATGTCCATTTTACTATTGATATCCGGATAATTATCCTGTTTATCCGGATATCAAGAGTAAATGGATATCTGGATAATTATCCTGTTTATCCGGATATCAAGAGTAAATGGATATCTGGATAAAGAGGAAATACTTTTAATGATTTATTATGATTGAATACGGGTCTTCATTCTCATGCACTCATATGGATAAATGGATGCCGGATTTATCCGGATTGGAACTATATTCTGTCTATTCGGGCTGGTTCGTGTTGATCTCTTTAGTTGATTGACCAATCAACAAATTTAGGAAAAATCGATTAGTTGCAACTAATAGTTGGCAACTAATCGATTGGAAAAATTTTTACCAACTCGAACACTAACTTCATGATGGATTATTTGTATACGTTTATATTTGTCGTATAAGTTGAATTATTATGGATCATGGGATCTACACAACCTAGCCAATAGATTTGCATTACGTAACCCTTGTATATCTCACACATGTATAAGCTATTTAAATTATTAATTGTTACGAAATCTTTGGAACTCATATGATTAATAAAATTTCATTACGGTTAGAGTTGAGGTCAGTTCGAACGATTAAACCGAGCTATTAGCTAGTCAATCAAATTTCAATATCAGATGTAACGCAAAAAATCAAACCAGTTCAAATGACTACGAAACCATTACATTATTTTGCAAATACAATAACGACAATGATAATATTTATCTCACTATATATTTTTGGCGGTGCCCAAGTTTTTAGCCAAGATTTTAAGGTTAACGTTAAAGGTGGATTTGCATAATGCTGGCAAACGTAGCACAACATGCGTGATTCTAAATCATCACACATTATAATTTATAGCATGTGAATTCATATGGATTAATTATTTTTATGCGACGATTTAGCATCACACTGTTGCTCAGAAAAACTATTAATTATTTAGCGGCGTCAAATTAACACTAATACGTAATTATTACCAAAATGGTTTCATTACTTTTTAGCCATGTCGATGACAATACGCCTAACGCTAAGCATAGAATATTTCGATGTCAAATATTAGAATGAAGAAGTGATTGTCCAACAAATTTACAAATAGGTAAAGAAATCTCATTGACTTATTTAACATGCAGTAACTTTATATGGTAACAATACGACAACTTTTTCGTCATTATAGTACGTAACATAGATAGTAACTGTTGAACAAATCTTAACATTATACGGAAAATAGTTAATACGTAGGAAAATTTTCACGGGAAGAAAATTGAATATACGTACTATTTTTATTATGTATGCCTTACATGTAATTTCATAACAAACTACGTACAGTACATACAATATTTGTTGCGAAGATAGAATTCTTTAATTTAAATGAATACATAATTTTCTAATTTCCTACTCTTTTTATTAATCCACAATGGATATATGTTTATGTCATAATAAAGTCATGTATTATGAACTTTAGATTAAAGCGGACTAGTCTCTTGATCACATGATCTAGTTGCATATGTTTTATGTACAAGGTCATCCAATCACTTATCAGACTCTGGATTACAATCTTGATATATAACGATAAAAATTAAGATTCTGTCAGCAAGACCAATTCTTCATCAAAATAAGTCACAAAAAATGTCGCTTGAAGATACTTTTTATTCTCCAGTATGGGGTGGTCTTTTGGGACTTATCATAGTGAGTATATTTTTGTTTTCATTTCTTGTTTACTTTTCGATAATTAATAATTTCGAACAATTTTTATAGTTGATATTGGATATTATTGCAATTTTTGAAGTCTTACAGTCTGGCCGTTCGATGCTTTCAAAACTTTTATGGATACTTTTAATATTTTTCTTTCCTATAGTTGGTTTAATTATTTATTGGTAAATATATCTGCTTAACGTTGAATTGAGCCATAGCTCAAGTAAACCATTGTGCTGATTATTTTGATAAAAAAAAAATTTTTTTTTCTTCTTTTTAGTTGTTTTGGCCGTGCTGGCGGTGTATCTTCGCCATGCTAATGATTTTGATAAAGAATTATTTCTTTTGTTTTGGCTGCGCTTGTGGTGTAGCCACAGTGGTTTGACACTGTTTTATGATGTTCCTTTTCAATGACCTCCAATTAATGATAGTTAGAATATTGAAGATGTTAGAATTCGATAGAATTTTTCTTTCTTCTATTTATATAGTGCAAATCAATTTTTTTTTTTTGTTAATTTTTTAACGAATTCTTAAATTGAAACCCTTATACAATAGCAAGAAAACAAGTTTTTCAGTTTTTTTATTATATTAGCTTTGCATGTCCTTTAATTTCCTCAAATTCAAATGTAAAATCACTATATACCATAATCTTAAAGTTACAGAACTTCATCAACAATTAATAAATTATTTTTATGTTGCTCAAGTTTCTTATACCTTATATATTTAAAAGCTATAAAATTTAATAATGCAATTTAATCAAATCTTAAGTTCCATCTCAAACAAATTCGTTACTATATACATAAATTTTCATTTTAGCAAGATAAATTATAAGTGCTGTTACGACTTTTTGTGAGTGCACCGTAAACTCATGTGTAGGTTAGCTCCGGTCGTAATTGGACTAAATTATATAGTGTGTTTTTGAACGTTTATTGTTTTTATCGACTGGATCCCTAATTTCTTTATACATTTTAGATCTTCGATGCGATCCTCTTGAATAACGAATTCTACTCAGGCATAGCAAAGTACCTTACTGGCATTCGCAGGATCTTAGTTAGGTAACTCATGGTCCAGGTGTTCTGTCAAAACACTAATATACATATCAATTTCGATATTAATTATAATAGTGATAACGATAATAATTTATACACGTATTTTAAAGTCGAATTTTGTAATTCTTACTTCATTTTTGTGATAGATTCATCGTGGTAGAAACTGACCTCGGACTGTGGTTATTAATGATGATTATTTTTCCACGATCACATTGATTTACTAATTTTAATTTTCATAAAAATGAAAAAATAATTAATTACAACTATAAACGTAAATTCATATGCACCAAACACGGTTTTATTAAGTGAAGCAAGGGATCTCTTGCAGCATAGGTGACACATAATTTAAATCAGTTGATTAATAATAATTTATTCATGGTGTCACCTAAACTGCAAGAGAACCGAAGCAGGGTAAGCAACTGCGTTGCATTACTTCATGTTGTCAAAGTTTATACCATTAAGAAGCAAACTGTATAGATATGAAGGTTTAATCATTATGTGATTGCGGGAAATACGTAGTTAATTTATTAAGCATTTGGAAATGTTTATTAAAAATCTGTTTTGAATTTGAAAGTGTTACTATTTTCTTAGGAGAATCATTCATTACAGTAAACAATGTCTAATAGCTATACACAGTGTCAGTTTTTCAGTTAAAATTTGCCTCATTTGGAAACTTTTCTGTGCGGCAAATAAAGAAAAACTACATCTGCAAATCTGTTCAAAAGAAAGTGTGCACAAAATTTTGATCCTATGTGCTGCGCACAGTCTGCACAGTAAAAAATGATCGCTGTATTTACGTCTATCGTTAAGATGGTTTATACACAATAGTAATAGTATACCCGTTCTTATATTAATTTGGGATCGGTGCCAAGTATACATATCAATCATATTTAAGTGAATATGAGCCACTGATCTTAATAATTCAGCAGAAGGAACCGTCAATGTTACACAACTGTCCTTCGCCCGTATAAAAAAAAATTATTTTACAATATCAGATCATTCCGCTAGTACATGTTATGCTTATAACCCCACACCATTTTATTATAATAAAAATGGTGGATTGCAGTCATAACATGCACTAGCGGAATGATCCGGTATTGTAAAATAATTTTTTTTATATGGGTGAAGGATCAGTTGTGTAACATCAACGGTTCCTTCTGTTATTATGAGGTTATGTTTAATATACGTATTCATTATGACATTCTACCATGTGGTAGAATCACAGTACCTGATTGCAGTAAATATCATACACCATAATTCCGTAGCCGTGATGCTGTAGCCGTAATACCGTAACTGTAATGCCGTAATGCCACACAATACCATACCTTATCAAAAGACTTAGATACTACACTACCTTGGTCAAAGTAAATTTGATTGACTGATCTACAAAATTTGGCATGCATTGCATAATTGTCTATATAATTTTGGTCAGCTCAATGTTAAAATTAGACCAATAACATTTTTACCTGATGAGCAGCTGTAGCTTCATTGGACCAGATAGTTTATCTTAGTCCAATTGTTAGTTCTTTTTAAAATACAATATTTAAAGATAATATGTGTCTTGTTCTAATACTTTCTTCTTCTAGATAAATTTACATCATATAAAGAATTAAAGCTTTGTGAAGTTTAGGTGATCAACCATCCAATAAAATCAAACATATATCTGGTCCTATATAAATTTACAATATTGCAAATTTTTTTTATTGTTATTACATAAATTATAATATGTGACAACTATAGATGCAAGCATTTGATAATGCATAGTTATGTCCAATTATCATGTCATTACATCAAAAATATTATAACAATATAGGTTATAATAACCTTAATTCAGAAGTTACATCAATATAAAAAGTTATAAAAATTCATAGTGATAAGGATGGATATGAATTTAATTTTCACAATTATTAGTTTTTTAATTACTATTTGTTTAGACTTTATTACTAATATTAAAATAAATTTGTTATTTTCAATAATATTTAGCTTAATAACTTATATATATAAGAACAACTACATAGTACAATTTGTATACTTTACAGAGCAAAATTAAGAATTTAAATCAAACAAAATAATGAATAATGTTAATTAAACTTATATAGCTTAAAAACTATTTAAAGTTAAAGGTTTTCATATTGTAACTGAATAACAGGAGTTTAGTATGAAATCTTAAAGCTCATAATCCTAATGCACACAATTATGACAGACAAAATCCTCAAATATTAAAATCTTACAAATACAAAATTCTGAAATACTAAAATCTCAACATGTACAAAATCCTGAAAATTCAAAATTCTAACTACTGTTAGACCTACAATACATGATTCACAAGTGACCAATTTTATCATGGATTTTCATTATTCGATCTCAAGTCATGCTTTTCCAGAGTATGAAGATCTCTCGCCATACTTGGGATAACTGTACTTATAATGATTATATTGTTTATATTAATTATAATGATTATAATTAATACAAGCATTATAATCATTATAATCATTATTGGCATCCTAAAAATAAATAGTAAATTAGTTATAAATAATATATACATTCATGCAAGTAATAAAACAGATTTCTCCTACCTGAAATAAATCAAATGAAAGGTTCATCTATGAGTGACTGTAGAGAATCATTGTTAAAGAATAAACCTAACTTGCATAAAGTAGTAAATCCTAATCTGATTGATAGTAATTCCCAATATAGTGTTAAATACTGAGTTTAGAATATCTAGAGTGATAGTTTCAATATAGTGTAGACTATCCAGGATAAGCCAGATTCAAATCAAAATCGCTCACCAAATCTACATGCTTTTTTCAAGTGAAAGCCATCTGAATGTTACATGAAACTGACCTTTGATTAGTGACAGACTCACTGAATTAGGACCTCTTACTACTAACTCTAATATTTTTTGCATTTTTGCATTTAAAATTTATAATGTTTTATTATTAGGATTTTGTACTGTTAGGATTTTGTATTTTTGAGATTTTAGTATTTCAAGATTTTGTTATCAGGATTATGATTATGAGCATCAGAATTTTGCATAACTCTTGAATGGCAGAAACAACCATATCAATAAAAAATACTTTATTTAATTTGATGATGAAATTAATTCCTAAGAACAGTTTAAAGAACCTTTTTTGAATAATAAAATACTGACCTTATTTTTACTATGTAGTATCCTATTTTTAAAATTACTTTACAACAACATCAGACAAAAGGTTATCCTATATTGTTCAGTATTATAATATTTTAATATAATAGCATTATGATATCTAGATACAATTATTGGATTTTAACATAGCGGCATTACAGTTACAGCTCAAAGAAATTACGGCAAATAATACGGCACATTCTGTAACCGTATTAAACACATTTATTACTACAATTACACACCACTTTAATCTTTAATTTTCCAAATGAATTCTACCACCAATTATACGTCAGGTGCTGCAATATAATCTATCGATATGTTAAAAAATTTTTTAATAAATATATTCTAAACAAATTTAATTTTATTAAACTTCATAGACTGCGTTGATCTATATGATCGAACTATGTATCTTGCAATAGTTTTATATTTCATTTGTATTAATTCCAAATATATTTTTATTTATTTTTTTAAAAAACTAATGATAATAAGCCAATACCGTTTACATATCAATATAGTAAAAACTCTAATTATAAAAAAAACTATATTTTAAACCAAGTAATAAATAATAACACTACTAAAATGTACCATAGATGTTTAACACCATAGTTTCTGTATCTCATAAATATGTTCAGAACCATCAAAAACCTTATGCTGACCTAAATTTTGGTCTTTATATCTGAACTCTAACCTTGTCTGTAATTGCACTCTAGACCTTATATTTTAGCAAAAATATAAATATCGAAACACTATAGGTATATTTTATAATAATTGTTTTTATAATATGTATTATATTTTATAAATATTATAATTATAATAAAAGATAATAGCTGTTATATATACCTTCAAATTTTGGTATAAATATTCATATCTGTAAATTAAACTTAAAATTTTGATTAATACGTATACAACTTTGTAAAATTTAAATAAAAAAAAGTTTATTAAATTTGACTTGATAGTTGTCAAGATACTGCTTAAATTTTCAAAAATTTTAA